GGGGCCCCAGCAAACTTCCAGCTGCCAGCAAACTTCCAGCTGCCGGCTGATGATTGGCTCACAGCAGCCCCAGCAACATCTAGCTGATTGGCTCCTCGGCCCCAGCAACATCTAGCTGATTGGCTCCTCTGCGGTGATGCTCATTGGGCTGTTTCCCTGCCCTTTCAGACCACGGAGCTGCTCATTGGGGGAATTTTTTGGCTCCACCCACGTCACCCAGCCAATCGGCCTCAAGAGCAGGAGGATTGGGGGAGGTGGAGAGAAGCTTGTGTGGGAGAGAGAGGCTTGTGGAAAGCCGGTGGTGGCAGTTGAGGCTCTGAGGGTTTTTCCTGAGAGGCTGTTTTGTTTGGCGTGTGTGGTTCTAAAAATAAAGTTAGTTTCTTTTGACAAGTGGCTCCTGATTGTGCCCAGCCAGACTGCGGCACTATCAGAAAATAAATTAAATACAGAATCTTTAAACATCACAAAAGCTTGTAAACCTGCATTAAGCTCTACCTTTTGAGCTGATTGTTTGGGTACTAAAAATGTAAAAGTTTGATCAGGGGTAACTACTGCTGCTGTACCATTATTTGACCCATCAGTGAATATATTTGGAGCATTCATGATAGGTGTTTTTCTTGTCATTTTTGGAAAAATTACAGGATGCAATGACCAAAAGGACAATAAAGGATTAGATGGTAAGTGGTTATCAAATGAAACATTAGATTTGCACATGATTATTGCCCAAGTATTTAACACATTAGCTAACTCATCAATTTGATTCATAGTATATGGAGTAATAATTTTATTGGGAGAAATTCCAAACACTCCCTTTGCTGCTTTTATTCCTTTGAGTATTAATTGTCCTACAGCCTCAGGATACCTAGTAAGAATAGTGTTAGGAGAATAAGATAAATGTATCCATAACAATGGACCTTCTTGCCAAAATACTCCTGTAGGAATATTTTTTGTTGGTAGTACAATAAATAATAAAGGCAAACTTATATCAATTCTATCCAAATGCATATTTTCCATATACGTTTCAATGATTTTTAATGCCTTTCTTGCTTCAGGCGTTAACATTCGGGGTGAATTTGGATCTGATGGACCTTTTAGGATATCAAATAAAGGTCCCAACTCTCCTGTTGGTATACCTAAATAAGGCCTTATCCAATTTATGTCTCCTAATAACTTTTGAAAGTCATTAAGTGATTTGAGTTGATCTACTCGTATTTGAATTTTTGGTGGACGGACCATGGTTGAGGATAATAGAACTCCTAAATAATTAATTGGAAAATTTAATTGTACTTTATCTATTGCTATCTCTGGATTATAATTTTTTAATAAGTGTGTAAGTGTGGCATAACATTCTAGCAATGTGTTTTTATCTTTGTGTGCTAATAATACATCATCCATATAGTGAAATATTTGTAGTTCAGGATTTTGATTTCTAAGTGGCTGGATTACTTTGTTAACATAAATTTGACACACAGTTGGGCTGTTAGCCATCCCTTGAGGGAGTACTTTCCATTCATATCTCTGATCAGGACCTTCATGATTCAGTGCAGGGATAGTAAATGCAAAACGTGGATTATCCTCAGGATGAATTGGAATTGAAAAAAAACAATCTTTAATATCTATAACTAAAACATACCAGGTTTTTGGCAAAGCAGACAACTGAGGAATCCCTGATTGAGCAGGTCCCATAATAACCATCTCATTATTAATGGCTCTTAAATCTTGCAATAATCTCCATTTACCAGATTTCTTTTGGATGACAAAAATGGGAGTATTATGGGGAGATACAGAAGGTTGTATATGTTCTTCCGCTAATTGTTGTTTGACCAGGTCATGGGCTGCTTGTATCTTTTCTTTAGTCAGGGGCCACTGAGGAACCCATACTGGTCTTTCTGATTTCAAGTAATTTTTATTGTCTCAGTGGCCCTTTCTGAAAATCCAACCCATGTCTGTCTGTTCCTTGATCTATTTGTATTGGTGCTGCTATACCTTGTTCTTGTTTTTCTAATCTTTTTCCTTTCCTAAAACCTTGTCTAGTCATAATAGTGGGTGCATTTTGGTTGATGTTATTTGTTAATGTCAAACCTAATTGATCTAGGACATCTCGTCCCCATAAATTTATAGGAAGATGATCCAATACATATGGCTGTATAGTTCCTTCACATCCTTCAGGATCCTTCCAATCTAATACCATTGCACTTCTATGGGGATTAGTTGCCACTCCTAGGCCTCGAAGCGTTTGAGTGGCTTGTTGTAATGGCCAATGTTTTGGCCATTCTTGACGAGAGATGATGCTAAGGTCTGCACCTGTATCCAGTAGCCCATTAAATTCATGTCCTTGAATATTTAGTTTTAGCATGGGGCGAGAATCTAAATTTAAAGAAAGCATAGCCCAATCTACACCTGTGGAGCCTAATCCCTTGGAACCTCTTTCTACAGTACGACTGGAAAATTTATCATGTAGGCTGGGTATTATTAGTAACTGTGCTATTCTATCTCCTGGTGAAATTACTGATATACCCTTTGGAGAACTGGCTATAATTTTTATTTCACCTTCATAATCGGGATCAATTACCCCAGGACTTATCATAAGTCCTTTTAGAGTAGAAGAGCTGCATCCCAATAATAAGCCTACTGTTCCTTTGGGAAGAGGTCCTTTCACCCCTGTGGGAATGATTTGAACTCCCATCTCTGGAGTTAGTACTGCTCTGGCGGAGGCGCAGATGTCCAACCCTGCGCTCCCTCTGGTTTGTCTGATGAGGGATCTGATGGACAATGTGTCCTGGGCACTACCCTGATGGGGTTGCTGGGTTCCTCCAGTGCTCCGTATATTTGTGGTTTTGGGCCCCGGAGCATTGGGCCCCCCTGTCCATTTTTTGGCAATGGAGCCCGATGCCTTTCTCCACGATATCGTGGATAAACACCTGGTCCTTGTTCGTTTTTTGATAATGGAGTACCCTCTATGGTGGTTTGAGAACGGCATTCATTAGCCCAATGTCTCCCTCTACGGCATCGTGGGCTAATACCTGGTATTCTACTCCTTTGATACCTAGTTTTGTTAAACCCTCCTCCAATGGGGCAATTCCTTTTAAAATGTCCTGTTTGTTCACAATTGTAGCATGTTCTTGGCCTGGCATCTAAAGCCTGTTTTACTGCAGCTGCCACAATTTCCCCTTGTTCATTAATGTCTCTGGCATCTAAAGCCTGTTTTACTGCAGCTGCCATGACTTGCTCTTGTTCATTAATGTCTCTACATAATTTAATATATGTGTTTAAATCTTCATGTTTCCATGGTCTAATGATATCTCTGCACCAACGATTCGCTTGCTCATAAGCCAGGTGTTTTAGTAATGGCATTGCTTGTTCTGTATTCCCAAAAACTCTGGTAGCTGTTTGAATAAGCCTATCTACAAATTCAGCATAAGGTTCATTAGCTCCTTGTATTACCTTAGATAATTGACCTTGTAAACCTCCATGTCCTTGTAAAGTCTTCCATGCCTTAATTGCATCTGCAGCAATTTGTGCGTATACGCCAGGATCATATACAATTTGTTGCTGCTGATCCTCATAAGGTCCCTTTCCTAACAACATATCTAGATTTCTCTGAGGATAACCAGCTGCTGCATTTCGCCTAGCCGTCTCCTTGCAAAATTCCTCATTGGCAACCTTCCATAACAGGTATTGTCCTCCATTTAGCACAGCTTTACACATATTAGCCCAATCTGCTGGCGTCATGTTCAAGTTGTTAATGGATTCGACCATGCTTACAGTGAAGGGTGCTTGAGGACCATAGGTTGTTACAGCCTCTTTTAGCTGCTTCACTGTTTTGAAATTTAAAACTTGGTAAAATCGCTGCCCTCCTGCCTCAAATACAGGGCATGTTAATATTTGAGATCTTGTCTCAGGATCCCAACTATCAACTGCGGGGGTTGGGGGCCTCCCAGCATATGGAGGTGGCGCTGTTGGTTGGACACTTACGCCCTCTGGTGATAGAAAGGTGTTAGTAGCAGTCTGCTGTAGAGGTGGTGCTGTTGGTTGGACACTTACACCCTCTGGTGATAGAAAGGTGTTAGTAGCAGTGTCCTGTTGTAACTTTCCCCCTGATGGCTTTTTCTGTTTTACACTTTCTTTCTCTGTCTGACTAGCTTGAGAGCCCTTCTCTTTTACTTGAATCTTTTCCTCTGTCTGACTAACTTGAGAGACCTTCTCTTTTACTTGAATCATTATGTCTTCTCCTTCCTCTACCATTGTCTGAACTGAAGGCTTTGGACTAAGCAAACAAGATATGAACGTCCACAATGGCAATGTGCCAACTGGCAGAGTCCCTGGGCTTTTCTTTTCTATTCTTTTTAAATCTTCACCATGATGGTTCCATTGTGATATATTTAACAACTCCTCCTTAAAAAGCCATGGGCTACATTTTTGTATTCTATCAACGTATGCCCTGATTGTTCTTGATTTTACTGAGATGCCTCCTTCCTCTAACAATTTACTTAACACTCTTTCAGTTTGTTTTTTACTAATTTCTGATCCCGTATTTCTACTATAATACAACCCAACAAGATGACGCCAAACAAAACCGAGACAGAATGAAATAAAAACGGAACAACAAAAAGTCATTATAGCCTTTCTATCCTCCTGACATGGGCATCCGTCCTTTCTCCCTATCTGTTCCTCAGACGTAAATAGTTTTTCCTCAGATGTGAGCGGTTTTTCTTCCGTCTCACTCATCTCCAGGGACAGGCAACTTAAAACAAAAGTGAAGCAAAATAAAAGAGGAATCTTAAAATGGCTACCCATCCTCTCGCCCTGCCCTCAGGGGCGAGCAGTTTCACTTACCCTCAGTCGCTCCCCGTGCGAGCCACCAAATGCCGCAGTCTGGCTGGGCACAATCAGGAGCCACTTGTCAAAAGAAACTAACTTTATTTTTAGAACCACACACGCCAAACAAAACAGCCTCTCAGGAAAAACCCTCAGAGCCTCAACTGCCACCACCGGCTTTCCACAAGCCTCTCTCTCCCACACAAGCTTCTCCCCACCTCCCACAATCCTCCTGCTCTTGAGGCCGATTGGCTGGGTCACGTGGGCGGAGCCAAAAAAGTCCCCCAATGAGCAGCTCCGTGGTCTGAAAGGGCAGGGAAACAGCCCAATGAGCATCACCGCAGAGGAGCCAATCAGCTAGATGTTGCTGGGGCCGAGGAGCCAATCAGCTAGATGTTGCTGGGGCCGCTGTGAGCCAATCATCAGCCGGCAGCTGGAAGTTTGCTGGCAGCTGGAAGTTTGCTGGGGCCCCTTCGGCTGTGGCTCTCAACACATGAAAATAACTTTTCCACAGTTTCCACTGGTTTTGAGGCATGGAAGTCTGTCCTGTGTTGTGATTGTGATGGATGTTGCTCTTTAGTATGGACTCTGACCACTGCTTGAACTCATAATGCAGGGGGTGCCACACTCACTGGATTCAAGCTTTACCTCTAGGACGTCTTCTCCCAGGTTGTGCAAGCTGTGAACTGTGCCAGAAGAGCTTGGCACCTGCAGACATTTCCATGGTTCGTCTCCAGTGTGGATCAACTGATGTCCACTGAAACATGAGCACTGAAGACAGGCTTGGTCAAAGTGATGCTTTTGTGCCTTACCTGTTGTGTACAGAGGACTGAGTGCATAATAAAGATTTGCAACCAAGGTACATTTATGAGTTTCTGTTCCAGCAGGAATCCTGATAAGAGGCTTTTACCATAGGGCCTGTTTACATCCAATGAATGTGTGAAGTTCCTCTCTATCACAGACTAACTAAGTTACTAAGCCTTAAATGAGGCCTGGATCACTCTGTATAGTCATGACACACGGGAGATAATTTCTCCACTAGGAAATCTCAGTGGTCTTGCACGGTTTGAATGCTGACTGAGACTTTGTCTAATTCATTTGTGGTTTTATTCTAGGATGAGAAATTGACAATGTGCATGATAGGAAATGTCAGTGAACACTTTGCCTAGCCCTCTTGGTGTGGATCACATGATCGGCCAGGCCAGATGCACCTTATAGGGTTTGCGACCCTCATCACATTCGTTGGGTTTCTCTCCACCATAAATGCTTGATATGTGAGATGTCAATGTTACTGAAGACCTCAACACATTTGTTGCATTACTATTTTCCTCTTCTGGGGTTTAGGGATTGAACCCAGGGACTCAAAACGTGTTAGGCGGTCATTCTAACACTTAGCTACATCACAGCCCTTTATTTCATATTTAGAGAGTCTCACCATTATGTCCAGACTGGATTTGCACTTGCCACCCTTCTGCCTTTTTCTGAAGTAGGTGAGACCCACCACCCTGCGCACCTTGATTACACGACTATGGCTTCTCTACACTATGGATCCTGCGGTGATGGGCTAGGGATGAGTTCAGACTGAAGACCTTGCCACAGTCATTACATTGATAAGGTTTTTCCCCAGTGTGGATTCTGCGATGACATGCTAGGTATGAATTTTGACTGAATACTTTGCCACAGTCATTACACTTATAAGGTTTCTCTCCCGTATGGATTCTGCGATGACATGCAAGATGTGAACTGCGACCAAACACTTTGCCACATTCATTGCATTTGTAAGGCTTCTCCCCAGTATGCATTATCAGATGTTCTGCTAGGTATGAGTTGCGGCTGAAGCCCTTGCCACACTCATTGCATTTGAAAGGTTTCTCTCCTGTGTGGATTCTTTGATGATTTGCTAGGGAAGATTTGTGACTGAAAACACTGCCACACTCATTGCATTTGTAAGGTTTCTCTCCTGTATGAATTCTCCGATGTTGTGCAAGGTGTGAAATGTGACTGAAGACCTTGACACACTCATTGCATTTGTACGGTTTTTCCCCAGTGTGGATTATCAGATGTTGAACAAGGTAAGAATTGCGACTGAAGACCTTGCCACACTCATTACATTTGAAAGGTTTCTCTTCTGTGTGAATGGTTCGATGTTGTGCAAGGTGTGAAATTTGGTGGAAGACCTTTCCACATTCATCACATTTGTAAGGTTTCTCTCCAGTGTGGATTCTACGATGACTTGTCAGGTGTGAAATCTCATTGAAGACCTTGCCACATGCATCACACTTGTAAGGTCTCTCCCCAGAGTGAATTCTCCGGTGGTTTGCCAGGTAGGACTTCTGACTGAAGACTTTGCCACAGTCATCACATCTGAAAGGTTTCTCTCCAGTGTGGATTCTCTGATGTTGTGCAAGGTGTGAACTGTGATTGAAGACCTTCCCACACTCATTACACTTGAAAGGTTTCTCTCCAGTATGAATTCTATGATGACTTGTAAGATTCGATTTTTGAGTGAAGACCTTGCCACATATATCACACATAAATTGCTTCTCTCTAGTACGGAGTGTCTGATGTATAGTACATCGTGACTCTTGATTAAAGGATTTTCCAAACTCATTAAATTTGTGAGCTGCTGGAGGAATGTCTGTTTTTGGTTCTTGTATAAACAAACAAGAATCTATAAAATCATGTTCATATTTATGAGAAATGTTTGCTTTGACACTAGAAGGACTTCTTTGGTGGGCTGGAAGCAAGGAACCATTGTCGAGAGCCTGCTCACTATCGATCAATTTATGATCAATTTATGAAAGACCCGTAAGGAAGGCACAGAACCCAAGACGAGCAGGATACTTTCCAAGAAATCTCGAAGAATGAGACACTTTACAACATGAAGATAACTGGCCCTTTTCAAATGTCCCTGCACCTTTGATATGTCCTGAGTTATAAAACATTATGTAATTTTTCCACAGTATGCGAGGCCAGAAACTAATCTTTTTCCTGCTTCCTTGTGACACGGTTGGGATGACAAGTGAGGCCCTTGCACAGTGATTAAGTGTCGAAGCCTTCTCTTCAGTATAGATCCTCCAGTGTCGTCTCAGGGATGATTCAGACTGAAGACCTTGCCACACTCATTGCATTTGAAAGGTTTCTCTCCAGTGTGAATTCTCTTGTTGTGCAAGGTGTGAAATGTGATTGAAGACCTTCACTCTCTCGTTATGACTGTAAGGTTTTTCTCTAGTATGAATTCTCCGATGAATTATAAGGTTTGATTTCTGACTAAAGACCTTGCCGCAATCATTGCATTTGAAAGGTTTTTCTCCAGTGTGGATTCTTTGATGACTTATGAGGGCTGATTTTTGATGGAACACCTTGTCACACTCATTGCATTTGAAAGGTTTTTCCCCAGTGTGGATTCTTTGATGAGTTATAAGGACTGATTTTTGTTGGAAGACCTTGCCGCAGTCATTGCATTCGAAAGGTTTCTCTCCAGTGTGGATTCTCCGATGTTGTGTAACATGTGCAGTCTGACTGAAGCTCTTCCCACACTCTTTACACTTGTAAGGTTTCTCTCCGGTGTGAATTCTACGATGATTTGTAAGAATTGATTCTTTATTGAAGACTTTGCCGCACTCATTGCATTTGTACGGTTTCTCCCCCGTGTGGATTATCACATGTTGAATGAGGTATGAGTTACGACTAAAGACCTTGCCACACTCATTACATTTGAAAGGTTTCTCTCCAGTGTGGATTCTACGATGACTTGCCAGGTGTGAAATCTGACTGAAGACCCTGCCACATGCATCACACTTGTAAGGTTTCTCCCCAGTGTGAATTCTCCGGTGGTTTGCAAGGTAGGATTTGTTACGGAAGACCTTGCCACACTCATCACATCTGAAAGGTTTCTCTCCAGTGTGGATTCTCCAATGTTGTGCAAGGTATGAACTGTCATTGAACATCTTCCCACACTCATTACACTTGTAAGGTTTCTCTCCAGTGTGGATTCTCCGATGTTTTCCAAGGTGTGAACTTCTACTGAACATCTTCCCACACTCATTACACTTGTAAGGTTTCTCTCCAGTATGAATTCTAAGATGACTTGTAAGATAAAATTTATTATTGAAGACTTTCCTACATATTTCACAAGTAAATTGTTTCTCTCCAGTACAGATTGTCTGATGTATAATACGGTGTGATTCTTGATCAAAGGATTTTTCAAGCTCATTACATTTGGCAGGAGCTGGAGAAATGTTTGTTTCCGGTTCTTCTACAAATAATAAAGCATCTATAAGATTATGTTCATATTTATGAGAAATGTTTGCTTTGACACTAAAAGGAATTCTTTGGTGGGGTAGTAGCAAAGACACATTGAAAGAGGTGAAATAAGCCAGACTCAAAAATTAAGGATTAAACTGTTGCTCTCATAATTAGAAAATAGTCCAAAATAAAGGAGAAAAGGCAGTTGAGGAAGTGACGGGATACAATAAAGATACAGAGAATATCACGGGGGAGGAAGGAATGGGAGGAAAGAAAAATGAATTTAACAAAATCATGTTACGTTACTATATAAAGATACCAAAGGGGATGTCATCGTCTTGTATACATAGAGAAAGTTTAGAGGAGGGAGAATAGGGAGAAGGAGCAGAGGAGGAAAAGGAGAAAGTGGAGCTTGAAACCAAATTCCTTGCATGTAAAGCCCAGGAAATGGACTTCACCTTAGCCCTGACCCCTCCCATTGCCAAAGCACCCCAACACTACTTAGTGGGCAGCTGCCTCTCTGCCCATGTGAGCTCTTACCTGCTTTCACACCCTCCACACATGCCCACTCATTTGCAGGCCTGGATACTTCCTCGGGGCCACTCAGAATCCAGAGCTCCCTCCCTTGCTCCAACCAGGAGAGGACACTCAGGTCTGAAGGACACATTCCTGCTTGTAAAGAGAAAAGAAGCTGATGCACTGTGGCTTCTCCACAATCCAGCCCTATCTGTACATGAGAAAGAGGACGTTACAGAGGGATACAGAAAATATTTCACTATATCATGTAGGTATCTACCTCTCTTCCTAGAACCACTGAATCAAAAGCACAGAAATAGAAAACGGGGAACTTGATATTTTAAGAGTCGGCTTTAGGCTTTATGTTGTGCTTTAGCTCTGAAAGCACCACTGCAGTATCATGAAGAGGGCAGAACTTCTGAAGAAAGGGAACAAAGTATAAAGGATGTACTGTTGAGCATCTTTCACAGGCAACAGGACTTCAATCAGTCAATGTACAGAATCCCAAAGACAAAGGGGGAAATGCTACGATACACAGAGCAGATCCCAGCCTCAGGGAAAGTCAAGCTCACCCAGAAAGACCAGGTTCCTGTAGGTCTCCAGCATCACGTCCCTGTACAAAGCCCTCTGAGCAGGAACCAGGCACTTCCACTCCTCCTGGGAGAATTCTATGGCCACATCCCTGAATGTCAGCAGACCCTGAAATTAAAACAGACTTCACAATGGAGCACTGGGGACAGTTACAATCTTGATGCAAAATGTGAACCACAGAGCCCAGACATGGTGGCACATGCTTGTATCCCAGCTATCCCCAGGCTGGGGTGGCAACATTGTAAATTGGAGGTGGGACTGGGAAACATAGCAAGATCCTCTCTGAGAATGAAGAACATAGGAGTAGGGATGTAATGGCAGAGGGGACCTAGGTTCAACCCCATTACTGCAAAGAAGTAAACAAAGAGAAATGAGAAGGGAGGAGAAGTGTAAGCATGCAACTGACTCAAGTGAGAAGAGTTGCACTGTGAGGCTGTAAATACACATTTGGTATCTGTCTGTCTGCTGATGTGGAGCTCACCTGGAATCCCTGGAGAACTAAGAAAGATTTCTGTGCTAGTGAGAAGACAGGTGCCAAAGCCCCCTAGAGAGCTTCACAAAGGGGCTTCTCCCCAGAAAGCCTCAGGTAGGAGAGGCAGTTGTAACACAGTCCTGCCATCCACCTCCAGGGAAGGGAGAGGGAATGAACTCTCAACTGATTACCATCACCCAGGATGTAATCAAGCCTGCCTACATAATGGAGCCTCCAAAAAACTCATCAGGACGGGGTGAAAGGGTGTTCAGGTCAACGCGTGGGTGGAGGATTCTGAAGGGTGGCGCACCACACAAAGTCATGTGAGCTCCACGTCCTTTGCCCTACACCTTGGCCTATGCACCTCTTCCATCTGTGTGTTCACCTGTGTCTTCTGAACAGGCGTTACCACAAGGCAAATGCAAGTAAAGTCCTTGACAGTTTTACGAAGCACTCTAAACATTTGTAAGACATCTCCCAGTTTGAATTATCATCATGTGAGGAGGGGATGAAGGAAGCCCCATTTACAGAAAGTCGTTCTGAATCATGGGCCATACTTTTGCAGGCCTCTGAAAAGGGGCCCATTTTGTGGGACAGAGACCTCAGCTGGTGGGATCCACCATGTATCTACACACACAGTGTCTGAACTAGGTGAAATGACAAGTGCCCTCTGAAGAACTGCATTCTTGGCATATGGGCAAAAACCCTCACTTATATGGGATCACAGAAGCTTTCTGTGTGCGGAGGGTATATAAGGAGAAACTGAGCTTGCTTTCCCTGTGTTTTCAATATGTTCTGGTATTTCTGAGAATGTTATATCTCCTAGTTGTGTTTTATTTTAATTTTCCTTAAGGAAAGATACTGCCTAAATCTGTACAGATTTCTCCCCTGCAGAAAACACAAGAAACATAGTAGCCAGCCACAGTGGTACACAACTGTAATCCAGACCCAGGAGGAAGAAGCAATCATTTGAGACAGATGAGGTCACAAATCTTAACATTCAGTTTCAGAAGCTAAAAACGATCCCAATTTTCTTTCTGTGCACAATGGAATAAATACAGAAGCCAATTGCAGAGGAAAAATTAACACCCCCAAAAAAGGGAAAATGAAACACCTCATTTTTAACAAACCAATGGTAAACAGGAAAAAGATTCAGATAATATCTCAAAAGCAAAATAAAAGAAAAAAATACACCAAAACTCATGAAATGCAGTGAAGAATTAAAAAAAACAAAAGAAAGACCTTAGGGTAGTGAAACTTTAAAACAAAAAGGAAGAAACCCAGGTCAACTAACCATACAACTCCAGGGGAAAGAGCCAACTGAAGGCAACAGAAGGAAAAGGCAGGAAACAATGAGCAATAGAGCGAGAGAACTGGTGTGGAGGACAGGGACACCACCAAACAGCACACTCACTTTTTTAAAAGATCAACAAAAATGACAGAGGACTCCCAGGGCCACACCTGATGGCACCTCCTCATGGATTCCCTGCTACCAGGTCACAGTGGGATGGAATCTAAGCACAGAGGATGGGGTAAGGGAGGCCCCGGGGAGTGCAGGCACACCAGTCAGGCAGGAGGCCACACAGAGTCACCTGAGGCCAGCAGCTCCCAGGCCCAGCACAGCACAGGGGACTCAGGACCACCTGAGAGATCACTGTACCTCAGTGACAGCCATTCCTGACTCCTTTTCTTTCCTCCTCCTCTTCAGGGCTGTTTCCTCAGGTAACACGAATCTTTACAAGTCAATCCTGGAAGGAGGAAACATACTCTTTAAGGCTCAGAATCATCACATCCTTCCTATGCCACAGCCACACACAGAGGGAGGACCTCACCATGTGAGAAGATGGTCCCCTTCTGCCCACCCCTTTAGAGTGACCCAGGCACATTAGTAAACTCCTGCAGGAAGGCGCACAGGAGACTTCTGTGACTCCTCTCTTTGGGCCTGGGTTCCCTGCTGGTGAAGCACACACAGGCTGCAGCAGTGGGGAGCTGGGAAGCACTGGGCTCCCTTCAGGGCATAGCCTGGCCCTGACCACACTGAACGACAGCACAGTGCCCCCTCACCTCTCCTGGGATCTCAGACTGATCTCAGTCCCCAGGATGGAGGACACAGAGCCAGTTTCTCAATGCTGCACAGATAAGAGAATCAACTCTTTTTCAGTATTATTAAAACTGGTAACATCCTCACCCCCGAATGGCACATCCAGTTAGTAGAATTATTGCAAAATGACTCGGGACTCTCATGGAACCCAAGATTAAGTACCCCCATTAGGGGCAAGCCCAGCCCACTACCCACCTTCTAGCTCTGCGCCTCTCTTGGAACCTTGTTCTTACCAGGATCCAGACAGCAGATGGTGAAGGAACAGAAAGAAATATGCAAAGTAGGCTGCATGGACCAGAGGTGGGGCAGGGTGTGGCTGGAGTGTTACAGGAGCTGGGGGGGTCGGTCACAGTAGTCTCCATGCAGTAGGTAACATCAGAACAAAGACCTGAGGTGTTGACCACCTGCAGCCCAGTGTCAAGGAGGCCTAGACAAGGAGACAGGACCCAGTGAAGACCTTAGGCTTAAGCAACCTGCTACCAGGAAAAGGAAAGAGGCCTGGGTGGCTGAGCAGCAGAGGCCCTGAGGCAGCAGAACAACCAGGACCCAGGTCTTCCCACATCTTTCCCAAGCCTCAAGAACAGTGTGCACTCTAGTTTCCTTGCCTGTCTGAAAAAATACATGTGATCTTTGTCTTTCTCCTCTTAAGATATAAAACTTACCAATATGATAATACATTGTGCTATTTCGATATATGTCAAAGTATCTAGCCAACATCCCCAAGTACAGGATCACCCTACCTGAAATGCTGAGGACTACGGGGAGAGACACCTGGGGAGCTAAAGAAGTCACAGGATGGACCATGAAGGTAGAAAGGCCCACTAACATCCCAGCATGGACTTGAGGACACAACTGGCCACAGAACTCTAATGTTCATAGGAGAAGTCTCCAGGAGTACTATAGAGGAGAATGGTATCAAAGCTGTGATCAAAAAGATGAGGAGAGACAGTGGGCACGGACAGGCTGAGCAGAGGTACGAGCCTCAACTGTGGGGGAGCACTGCCATCAGAGAACAGGGGGTGGAGCCTCGCAGCAGAGGAATGGCCAAAGTGATCAGGGAGGAATCATAATGAATGCAAGGAGAGTTTTAAGATAGGTAGATGTCCTAACAACTAAGAAGAGAAAAGAGAAGAGGGAGTCATCAACTGGGCAATGTGCTACTGACAGAAAAGAGAAATGAAAAAGGGAAATTTGATACTGCATTTAAGCCAGGCACAGTGGCAATCCCACCTACTTAGCTTGGGCCAGGAAGATGGAAACATGGGACACTGAGCCAGACCCTCTCTCAAAATAAAAATTAAAAGGACGAAGTATGTGGCTCAGTGGTTAACTCCCCCCGGGTTCAATTCCCAGTACCAAAAAAAAACCCTTACATTGTATATATTTTATATGGGGTTTTTTGGTACTGGGATATTTGGGATGTGTGTGTGTGTGTGTGTGTGTGTGTATAAAATCTACCTTTCCTTTTCCTTTACTATCTGAGCCAGAAAAAAATCCCAACTGTTTCTACTGTTCTTACAATCATTACACAATGCCTCCCCTCTATTCAGCAATAGGTGGTTTCCCCTACTGGCAGATTCCTTATGTCCCACAATGTCAGTACCGATTCTATTTATTTAAGGAAATGTCATCCTATAGATGACATTTAGGGGTTCAGGGCCGCAACAAAGGCACTCACTTCACATGCTGTAATAGGATAAAAGTCAAGGTGCCCAAAACCCCCTCCTGGGTCTCAGTTAATCTTCTAGCATATTCTTCCATGTGTACCTGTATGCATAATAAAGTATTTCCCTAAGTGAAATTACCCCATGGAGCAAATTAACAAGACCCAAGCAGGGAGCATGGGAAGCTCCAATTTATAGCCCACTAATGAATTGAGGTCCCAACCCAGGACATGTGGCTGGCATGGGAACTGGGGTGTGTATGGAATTGTGGTACTAAAACACTCAACCAGTGTCATTGGATGCTATCTCCAGGCAGTGATTCCCAGATCTGGATGCAATTACAGAAACCTAACATGGTATATGACACAGAACTGTTTGCTGATGGAGACAGATTCCCACGTATTTAGATGACCACAGTTAAGAGTGCTGTACACAGTGTTGCACTTCAGCTTTCCCTATCCCCTCACCAACACTACACCATCTCTGGAAAACACAAGAGGGTAACCCACAACTGAATGGCTCAAGTCACTGCCTTCTGGCCCAAGAGATTACAAAAGGAAGCTATCCTAATCCCAGAACTGCAGAACACACAAAACTTAGAAACAGCAGTTTTGTCATTCCCTTCTTCAGCTGTATAGTTCAAACAAACAAACAAACAAAAACTTAACTTACACTTACCTTATTGGAGACAGAAATCAATATATTACAACATCATCATCCACACCCAGGGGCCTCTGTCTTCATTGCTGCTTCCCTCCCTCACTCTGATCATCTCCATTCTCACCTCCACTCTGATTTCCTCACCCATCCTGGGTCCTGCTCCCTTTGCTTCTCTCTCCTCTCCTGGTTTCTCCCCTTCTTCCCTCTACTCCTTCCCTCCATCTGATCTTCCCCATTCCTGAAACTCCCTTCACCTCCAGTCAGTCTTTCTGCCCAGTCTCCTCATTGTCCCCAATCTCCACAGATGTCTGCCTCTTTCTTCCCCATCCACTCTCTCCCTCTGGCCTGCCTGCTGCAGGCCCCTGTCCGCATGCTCTGGACCCGCACATCACTAGGCCTCTTCCCTGGGCTCCCTTGTCACTACTTACACCTCTTCTTGTCCCAGCACCAGTTGTCCTCTGCCATCCCTGCAGATAATCCATCCTCTCCTCCCCTGCTCAGCCTCAGGTCCCTCCCCGTTATGTCCCTTTCCCTATGTGGCTGTCCTTCACGTCTCTGGAGATTGAGATTCTAGATTTCTCCATTTCCTTTTCCCCTTGTTGGGAGAATTAGGAGACCAGGACGCGCGCTCTGTGGAGAACTACCCGCGCTCGGACAGGCTGCGGGCGGCGGGGAGGGAGCGGGGACGGACAGGGCGTCCAGCGGCCCAGGCCAACCCCGGCTGGGACTCGCGCCAGGGCACACACCAACGCGACTCTCCCGCGGCGACCGAGCTGACTACAGGTGGACGGCGCGCGGCAGAGACGCAGAGGTCTGTTGGGACCGAGTCCCCGCCACGGACCCGCCGGCGAACCAGTAGCGCAAATAGCCCAGAGACCGGGAACTCACCAGCCGCGCGACGACGGGATCCGCTTCCGGGTCTCCTCGTGGACGCGCGGGCTCAGGGAAGATTGCAAACAAGGAGGAACCTGGAGCTGGTGGGCGGGACCGGAAGGCTTGACGGGCGGGGGAGGGACGATGGAGAGAGTGGATCTCACAGGTTAAAACCCACCCAATGAGCGGGGTCGCAACGCTTGACGGGCAGGGAGGGATCGGTGGAGAGGGCGGGCCTAAGAGGGTAAATCCCACCTAGTGGAGGGGGGTCGAGAAAGCTGACGGACAGGGGCGTGGCGATGGAGAAGGCGGGACGCACTGGGTGAACCCCACCTAGTGCGCGGGATTGGAAGACTGACGGGCAGGGGCGTGGCGATGGAAAAGGAGGGACGCACTGCGTGAAACCCACCATTGGTCGGGATTGGAAGGCTGACGGACAGGGGCGTGGCGATGGAGAGGGCGGGGCATAGAGGGTAAAACCCACCCAGTGGGCGGGATTGGAAGACTGACGGGCAGGGGCGTGGCGATGGATAAGGCGGGACGCACTGGGTGAAACCCACCAGTGGGCGGGATTGGAAGACTGACGGACAGGGGCGTGGCGATGGAGAGGGCGGGGCTCAGAGGTTAACACTCACCCACTACGCGGGGTCGGGAAGGTTTGATGAGCAGGAAGGGAGCCATGGAGCGCGCGTGTCTAAGCGACTAAAACCCACCCTTGGGCGAGGTCGGAAGGCTGACGGGCAGGGGCGGGATGTTGGACCGACCCCGCCTGGTCGGAGAAACCCTGGCGCCTGAACCCAGGGGCGGGAGTTTCCAATGTGCTGAGAATAGAGAACCTTTGCTGGGTACAGAAATGCTAGCAGTTGAATTGGGTTGAGGTCGCCCTGCAGTGAAGTGCGGTGGTCCAGGATGTGCTGGACCTGAGCATGAACCCCAAAACGCAGGGTCTTAGTGGGCAAGGGTGTGGGCGAGGCCTAATTATCCTGCTTTCCGCGTTTTTGTGTTTTATGACTGAAAAAGGAGGTGAGACTCCCTGGGAAGCTGAGACAACATGGGAAAGTTGGAGGTCACTTCGCCCTTGGGAAGGGCCAGTGGGGTTAACATTGGGTGATAGGATCTAGTTCGGTTCTTGCTATTACAATTAATTTTAGCAATTGAATTCAAGAACCCTGGGATTATCCATGAAGTCGATGCGAATCAGAATGTGAAAGGAAAATGTGGCGGGCAGCATGTATAATTTCACCCTGAGGCCCTCAGGATATAAATCCCACCCCCCCACACACCTCCACCCACCCCCACTCCGCTCTTGTGACTGACATCACATTGTTCCTGGAACTAAGCCTAGGGTTGGGTACCTGTCTCTGAGGTGAATGGATGAAAGAACTAGATAGGGTGCTCTGATGGAAGTGGACATAGCAGGATGCACAAGCAAAGCTTGGGGATTTTTTTTCTTTTTATCACAAAGTGTTGCGTTGCATGTATATAGCATATACATAACAACACGGTGAAATTCAGCTCTTCTGAAACCAAGGACACTTAATTACTGAGCCACACCCCCAGGCCTTTTTATTTATTTATTTATTTTGAGACAGTGTCTCAGTTGATTATGGCCTCACTAAACTAATGAGGCTGCCTTTGAACTTTCTATCTGCCTGTCTCAGCATCCTGAGCCACAGGAATTACAGTAGTGCACCACCATACCTAACTATACATGAAATTCTAATATGTTCTCAACCTCAGAAATTCCTGACCTCAAACACTATTGGATATTAACTGCCCCCCACACACAAACACACAGACAACACTGAATCCCAGTGCACATATCTGAGGTTTACCAGAGTCACTTGCAGGATATATGCACTGTAAAAATGTCATAAGGGTTTAGACTCTTCACTTCTGCCTCCAAATATCCAATGGGTGGCTAAAGGCAGGACTGAGACATGTCATCTCTGCCTCCATTTTACATCTAACTCTTTGGCTCCAAGTCACCTTGGATTCCAAACAACATTTGACCAGATAAACATCTTGTGTGGACTCTAGACTACCTCACAGCAAGAGCAACTTTCTTTATTCAGGAAGAGGCTCCACCTGGCTAATCCTGAGATAATGATGGACTACATTGAGGTGGGAATTTAAAAATAAAGGGAAATATACTGAGTCTCAAAGGAAGTGCCCATGAACTGTTGTGAAACAGACTGGTCCAGCAGCAGCAAGTAGCACTCTTGGAGGACAAATCCAAACTTTATTTTTCACAAGCAGGAACAGATGAGAACAAACTACAAATGCTGAGCACTCATCCTCAGTTTCTCACAACATTTAGAGGCTACTTCGTGCCATAAAATTTCTACCCTGGTGTTGTGACAGAGTGGTAGGACACTTGCCCAGCTGTACTAGATCCCACAAGACTGTTGGCGTTTCAAAACAGAGTACTCAGACTCAGATATTTTCAATACAATATGTAGGGACTTAGGGTTAACTAGGCTTGCTGAATAAATGATATAGCAAGGGAAGGGAACTTACTCTTGCCCCAGGCATTCGTTTCTCAGGAAAACATTTGTACAATTTCATTTTACAACTGGGTCTGGTTTTGCTACCTCAGAACCACTGAAATGCATAAAGCACCCATGAAACAAATTTCAACTCCCCACTGATATGTCCTTGATTCATGCCCTTCAGCCTTGTAACCTGAGGTCAATACTCAAGCACAAGGAAAACGTGATATTTGCTTGCTCTGACATCGCTCCACCTCTAGCCCAGGACCTAGGAACTGTTCCTCTATGAATATTAACATCACCATTCTAGGGGTTAGTCCCGTGCTCCAAAAATAGCCAGGCTTCTCCCTTGAATGTATATGCCTTGCTTTACCCCAGAGGAGACTCCATTTAGAGAGGGCTCCTATTCTTTCTTGAATATGTATTTACCTCCTAAATAAATCACTTTGTATGCCTTTGGCATGTGCTGAAATTCTTTTCAGTCATGTGTGCCAAGAACACCCCTGAGACAATTTTCCTCTTCTCTCTGGGAGTTCCTCAGAGCCTTCTCCAAACACATCTCTTCCCCTGTCAACAAGACATCACCTAGAGAAAATCATCTGCTTTGGCAGCAGAGAAAAGCCTTCCCCTATGCAAATCCCCAACCCTTGCTCTCATTACCCTTTTTAAATTGTGTGTGTGTGTGTGTGTGTGTGTGTTTTCTCCCCTGCTAGGGATTGAACTCAAAGTCTTGCGCATGTGCTACTTGAGTTACACCTACACCAACTGGAGCTATAACTCCAGCCACACTCCCCCTTATTATAAAACCTCAAAGTCATTGTCAGCCAGTTTGGGGGTAGGGGCTTACCAGGCATGGAATTCAGAGTTAGCAACAGTATGCAGCTATTTCCTCACTTACATTCTACAGTTGCAACATGTAATGTAGAGTGGGCACTCTACCACTGAGTCACATCCACAGACCTACTTTGTAGTTTATTAAATAGAGACAGGGTCTCACTGAGTTGCTTAGTGCCCCACAGTTACCGAGGTTGTCTTGAAATCCCCATCCTCCTGTCTCAGCCCGCTGGGATTATAGGCACCCACCACTGGGCCTAGACATTGTCAGCCTCTTGAAGAGAGAGATAAAGAAGCAGGTACTCTTCTATTCCCAATGCAGTTCTACTGACTAAAGTTACTTTCATGCGTTTACCTTATTTTTTTGCGGAGGGAGGGAGGAGGGGTGCGACTGGTCTGACCTGATTTATTCAATCCTCAGAGCCAGGCCTCTGGTTGAGGACCTCAATACCAAGACATATGAAAATTAGTTTTTCCTACTGAAAATGAGGGAAGCAACTCTCTGCCCCTCCTTTTTAGACTTTCACCTTAGAAACCTTGAAATTTAATCTATTTTCTCCTGTGTTAAGATGTATGTAAATTATTTTGAAAACTGAATAGGTGTGTTGTCAACTTTATGACCCAGAAATGTCTTCAAGGACCAAAAAGCCATCTCTTGAAACATCCCAGTAACTGAGGCAGGGTAGGCACTTGACTCTTTAGGCATCTTTCTGAAATTTGCAATCTCTTAGTGCGTTTCCTGTGTTACCCACAACATTATAGTTTAAAGCTTTATTCAATTACAATATTTTCTTCTTTCACTCCTACATTGGTGGGGAAGATTTCTTTTTAAGAGAGAAGAGAGAGAGAGAGAGAGAGAGAGAGTTTGAGAATTTTAATATTTATTTTTTAGTTTTCGGCGGACACAACATCTTTGTTTCTATGTGGTGCTGAGGATCGAACCAGGGCCACATGCATGCCAGGCGAGTGCGCTACCATTTGAGCCACATCCCCAGCCCAGTGGGGAAGATTTCTGAGGTGCGAAGCAATTTTGTTTTTAATTATATTTTCCCATGCCACCTGTTGGCAAAAAAAGAGCATGACTCAATAGTTTACAACTAGTTGGAGGAAAATGTTCTCAGCTCCCAAGACAAGTGGCCTTTATAGGCAGCTTTAATCTCTCACCCTAACTTGCTGCACTATTAATTTCCAACCTAAGGAAGCCAACCAGGTCCCACAGGTCATCCAAAAGATGCCAGGAATGCAAAAACAGAACGATCAGCCCAGGTGGATGACTCCATTTTCACTGTTCACCTTGATTTGGGGACTCCCTGCATGTGCTTAGTCTGTAGGAATGATCTCTAGTCTTTTTGATTTAAAAATATCTACTGTTTTGGAAGATCCCAATTTTCAAGCCAGCCTCAGGAATGGTGAGGTGCTTAGCCACTCAGTATGGACAGCGGTGACAGTAACTGGGAGACCAGTGTCTGAGACAGGGGTCCCTGATGACTTCATGGCTGTGGCATACTTGGTGACTGGGAAAGTTTCTGTGCATAGGCATAGTGTGGGAAGCCGTTCTCACACGTGATTGGGTACCTCCCTGACTGGGTGTGAGGCGCTCAGGCCAGCTGTGTCTGAGCTTATCCCCACCCTTTTCAGGTGCAAGAGCCTGTCCCTGTGGGGGTGTGACTGACCATTGACCCTGAAACCAATCACTGACCCTGACCTTGGAATGCTGTCCCCCTCGACCTTCATTGCATGGAATTTTCCCCTGAATTTTTTGTTCCCCAATAAAAGCCCACTCTCTGGCATGCTCTGCCATCTCTCCTGCTGGTCTCTTGTGTAAACCTCGCTAGCACATCAGGTGGCTGGAGACAGGAGCCTGGAAGGGCCGTCTCTTAGCTGGGCAAAAAAAGGTAAATTGAGTTTATATGTCTTTATTTTGATCTCACTAGTTAACTTCTATGTTTTGAACCTCTAGTATGAAGCTAGCGTGCTGGTCGCACAGCAGCATTGGATGCCCGGTTGCTATGGAGATGTCCTCCATGCTAGAGTCTTAACAGCTTGGACCTTATTCTCAGGCAGGGCAGCTCCTGGGAATGAGGGAACTTCATGGATGTGTTCCCTAGGAGAGCCTCTGGAGTTAGCACAGGTGCAGGATCGCCTTCAAAGTGAACTGAGAATAGAAATGGAAAAGAAGTTAATGCAGGACTTGAGGGACACGGCGAAAAATGGCACCATCTACGCAGACGGTTTTGCATTTCAACTGGTACTTCCTACATATTTCCTGCCTGTCACTCAAAAAAGGGGCTCCAGGTTCCAAGTAACCATCTCCGCAGCCACGCCCCTGCGCGCCCCGCCCCACCGGCCTTCTCCCGGGGCCGCGCCTCCCGTCACTCTGGCCCCGCCCCGCCCGCCGCGGCCCCGCCCACCGCCCCTGTTTCCCTGCCAGGCGTCTCCAGGAGCGCTCTGCTCCTCCTCCCAGACCCGGAAGCTGATCACGGAGCAGCGGTCACAGTGAGGCACGTGAGTTCCCTGTTCAGTGGCTGCGTCTCCTCCAGAGACATAAGAATCACACAGGCCTGCAGCAGCGGCGCCCGGCAGGGAACCCGCCGCGTGTCAGGCTTGGCCGCCTGACCGCCCTGCAGCCTCCCCCAGCGCACAGGCCTCCAGCTGCACACCAGGCCCTGCCATCACCTGGCCATGCCCTCCTCAGTCCTGCCTTCACCTGTCCTGTCCTCACCCAGCCATGTCTCCTGGCCTGACCCTACCCTCGCCCAGCCCTGTCCTCCTCACCTGCCCTGTTCCTCACCCAGCCCTGATCCCCTACTGGCCCAGCTTTTGCCAGGCCTTGTCCTGCTACCTGGCCCTACCCTCACCTGACCCTGTCTACCTTGGCGCTGTCCTCCTCACCTGCCATGTCCTCCTTGGCCAGGTGTCCACCCTGCAGGTCTTCCCTCCATTAGTCTCCCTGTTGTCTACAGGAGGTGACCTGGGCCTGTGTGGTGACTTGCAGGGGGTCATCTGATGCCATCTCCAGGTAGCAACAGCCAGATCTGAATGTCATCACAGAACACTAATTGGGCAGGTGGCACAGATTCCACCCCAGGGGAAACTATGCTCCCCTGGAGGTGGGCATCCCAGACCATCCCCCTCCCTGTGGTGTGTGGCACTAGGCTCTGGACAAAGAGCTGGACCACAAATGAGAGAAAGGAGACAACAGAGAGAGAGACCTTACACAGATGGCAAGGGATTGCAGAGGGAGGGCACAAGAGTGAAAGAAGAAGCCATAAAGCAGCAGAGAGAAGCAGATGGAGAAATCTAGAATCGCAAACTCCAGAGAGGCGAAGGACAGCCACACAGGGATATGGACAGAACAGGGGAGAGACCTCAAGCTATCTAGAGAGATGAAGGACATAGGGAAAGAGACAGAATCGGGGAGGGACCACAGGCAGAGCGTGGGAGCAGAGGACACATTATCTGCAGGCATGGCAGAAGGCAGCTGTGGTGCTGGGATAAGAAGAGGGGTAACAGGTGACAAGGGGAGCCCAGAGGAGCACCTTAGAGAGGAGGCCTCGGAATGTGGGCATCCAGAGCATGGGATGAGGGGGCTGCAGCAGGCAGGGCAGATGGAGAGTGTGGATGGGGAAGAAAGAGGCGGAAATCTGTGGAGACTGGGGAGAAAGACTGACTGGAGGTGAAGGGAGTTGCAGGAATGTGGAAGATCAGATGGAGGGAAGGAATAGAGGGAAGAAGGGGAGAAACCAGGAGAGGAGAGGGAAGCAAAGTGGGCAGGACGCCCTCCAGGGTGGGTGCTAAAGGAGCACAGTAGAGGTGAGGAAAGAAATTGCAAAACTACTGCCCAGGAGGCTTGTGTATTTTAAAATTCTAGAGGTAACAGGATAGCTCCCTTATCCAGCCTGAAGGCAGTGACTGAACTCATTGTGTCCAGGGTCCCCCTCCTTCCTCTCCTGATTTGTGGTGTCATGTAGGGAGTGTAGGAGATAGAAAGGACAATTAAAGTGTTTTTGCTTTTGTCATGCTGAATGCAACAGTGACCACTCAGCAGAGAGTTTTTCACCTCTGGTCATGTAAATGTGTGGCGATTTCTCCCCACCAACAAAGGGTGTCTGTGCCACCTGCCCAATTAGTGTTCTGTAATGACATTCAGATCTGGCTGCTGCTACCTGGAGATAGCATCAGATGACACAGAGCTTTCTCCTACAGCACTGCCCCACATGGTGTGCCAGTCACCTTGAGAAGTTGGGACCCCCTGCTCACCAGCTTGAGGATAACATGGTACTTTTGTTTGCTTGCTTGTTACAAATAAAGTGACACAGGTTACAGAGGTACAGGCAGATGAAAGAGCCATGGTAAAGGTTAACTGAACCCTAGAAGGGTGTTTTGGGAACCCTGAGATACCAGGGAGGAGTCTGGCAGAGAACTGGTCATTATTGAACAACCACATATGCATTTTAGTGACTAGAGAGGTGGTATTGTTTGTGGAATGTCAGAGCAGTTGAAACAGGGTGGGCTTTTCCTGTATCAGACAGTAAAAGGAAGAGATCTTATCTAAGCTGCCCTCCCATCTCAAGGCTGGTGTCTCACTGTTACCTGAAGAGAGTGTGTCTTTGCCTCTGGCTGGTGCTGACCCTGAGATCAAGCATTCTCAGCCCCTCTCACAGTCTGAAAATGGTGTGGTGTCCTTCCCGTGTGTATCATAGTTTTCCACATACAGAATCATTTGGTCATTGTCCTCAGAACACTGGCATTGAGCATTTCCAATCACATGAAATAAAGCCTCTTTGTTTTCCATTCTTCTGTCTCTAAAAGATAAATACTTTGTTAATTACATTTTTTCTCTCTAATGTGGACTCCCCTTTTAGACTACCTTTGCATGCTGAAAATTTGTTTATATACACCGTCTTCTAGTTCTAGAGTAACGTCTTCCAATCAAGTGTTCTCATCCACCCTAAGCTAATGATTTAATTTTCACAGTCTCTTGTGACATCACCGTTTCTATATTCCTTTTTAAATGTCTTGTCCTCATATCTCTTCATGTCAGTACCACATTGCCCAGTTGATGACTCCCTCTTCTTTTTTCTTAGCTCTGCAGAAATCTTCCTTATCTTAAAACTCTGCTTGCATTCATTGGGATTCCTCCAAGGATCACTTTGGCAATTCCTCTGCTGCCAGGCCCCACGCTGTTCTCTGACTGGGGTGCTGCCCCACAGTGGAGCCTTGCACCTCTGCTCAGCTTCTGTGTGTGCCACTGTCTCTTCTCCTCCTTTCACTCACACCTTACACACCATTCACCTCTCTAGTTCTCCGGGAGACTGCTCCCATGAACCCTAGAATCTTCTGGCCATTGTCTCCTAAACTTCATGCTGGGATGTTTAGTGGGCCTATCCACATTCATGTTCTCCCATGACCTGAGCTCCTCACATGCCTCCCCGGCATAGTCCTCAACATCTCAGGAAGGTTACTCTCTACGTGGGGGACTTGGCTGGACACCTCCACATATATCAAAATTGTACAATGTATTATGACATTGGCAGGTTTTTTTTTATTGTATAGGAGAATGAAAAAAAAATCACACAAGTTTTTCAGAGTAGAAAGGAATCGAGAGTACACACAGCTCTTGAGGCTTGGGAGAAAAATGGGGAAAGACCTGGCTCCTGATTGCTCTGCTTCCCCAGGGCCTCTGTCCAGTTCTACTACTGTGTCCTCTGCTTGCTCACTTTCAGCCACAGGGGCCTCTTTCCTTTTCCTGGCCGGAGCTTGCTCCAGCCTCAGGGCCTTCACTGGGTCCTGTCTCTCTACCTAGCCCTCTACATGGCCCCTGGGCTGCAGGTGGCCAACCCCTCAGGTCTATGACATCACCTGCTCCATGGAGACTCCTTGATCGCCCTCAGCTCCTGTCACACTCCAGCCACAACCTGCCCCCACTCTGGTCCATGCAGCTTGCTGTGTCTGTCTCTTTCTCCTCCTTTACTGTCCACTACCTGGATCCTGATAAGAACAAGGGTCCAAGAGATGGGAAGAGCCAGAAGGTGGGTGGTGGGCTCGACCTGCCCTTCTGGGAGGTGCTCCATGCTGGCTTCCCCTAAGTGTGATGAGTCATTTTACATCCATTCAGGGGTGAGGCTGGTGCCCAGCCTTAATAATATTTGAGGGTGATTCTCTTCTTTGTACCAGCATTGAGTACCAGCTCTGGAGTGGTACTGGGGTCAGCCTGAGATCTGATGATAGCTGATGGGTCAGTGGTGTGGTTCACTTTGGTCAGGACTAGGGGGTGCCCTGAAGGGGAGCCCAGTGCTGCCCAGGTCCCCGCTTGTGCAGCCTGTGGGCTTCACCAGCAGGGAAATGAGGCCCAAAGGAAGGAGTCAGAGAAGCCTCCTGTGCTCCTCCCTGCAAGAGCTTACTATGCCTGGGTCTTCCTGTGCAGTGGGCAGCCAGTAAACAGTATGTTTCCTCCTTCCAGGATTGACTTGTAAAGACTCGTGTTACCTGAGGAAACAGCCCTGAAGAGGAGGAGGAACGAAAAGGAGTCAGGAATGGCTGTCACTGAGGTACAGTGATCTCTCAGGTGGTCCTGAGTCCCCTGTGCAGTGCTGGGCCTGGGAGCTGCTGGCCTCAGGTGACTCTGTGGCCTCCTGCCTGTCAGGTGTGCCTGCACTCCCCAGGGCCTCCCTTACCCCATCCTCTGTGCTCAGATTCCATCCCACTGTGACCTGGTGGCAGGGAACCCATGAGGAGGTGCCACCAGGTGTGGCCCTGGGAATCCTCTGTCATTTTTGTTGATCTTTTAAAAAAGTGAGTGTGCTGTTTGGTGGTGTCCCTGTCCTCCACACCAGTTCTCTCGCTCTAGTGCTCATTGTTTCCTGCCTTTTGCTTCTGTTGCCTTCAGTTGGCTCTTTCCCCTGGAGGTGTATGGTTAGTTGACCTGGGTTTCTTCGTCATCGTTGTAAAGTTTCACTACCCTAAGGTCTTTCTTTTGTTTTTATTTTTATTTTTTATTTCATTGCATTCTGTGAGATTTGGTATGTTTATTTTTATTTTGCTTTTGTTTCAGATATTTTCTGAATCCTTTTCCTGTTTACCATTAGTTGGTTAAGAATGAGGTGTTTCATTTTCCCTTATTTGGGGGTGTTAATTTTTCTTCTGCAATTGGCTTCTGTATTTATTCCATTGTGCTCAGAAAGAAAATTGGGGTCCTTTTAAGCTTCTGAAACTGAATGTTAAGATTTGTGACCTAATGTGTCTCAAATGAAAAAATAGACATGTGTAGTACCTTAGTGGTAAATGTCCTGGTGTCCGTCTTCCACAACCAAAAAAAAAAAAAAAAAAAAAGGCGGGGATTAGGGGAGGGGGCGGGGCTGGCAGTTTTACTCAGTGGTGAAGCACCCAGGTTCATTGTCCAGTACCATAACTAAATTTTATGAATTTTTATGTGAATTGTCTACCTTCAGCCCCAACTTCCGGTTTGTTCTGCACAGACCTCTTTTTCCTATGGACTGCTTTGGCTGCACAGTGTCCTGCAGCACAGTCTCTGAGCACAGTGACTCTGAGCATCCTGACTCCTGTTTCTTTCTTTCTTAGAAATTGAAATCAGGCCCTTCTACCATTGAGTTATATCATCAATCCCTATTGTCTTGTTTTTTTCTTTTTTATAGTTAGAGTCTTGCTTCATTGCTGAGGTGGTGTTGAACTTGTGATTCTCTTGCTTCTTCCTCCTGGGTCTGGATTACAGTTGTGTACCACTGTGGCTGGCTACTATGTTTCTTGTGTTTTCTGCAGGGGAGAAATCTGTACAGATTTAGGCAGTATCTTGCCTTAAGGAAAATTAAAATAAAACACAACTAGGAGATATAACATTCTCAGAAATACCAGAAAATATGAAAACACAGGGAAAGCAAGCTCAGTTTCTCCTTATATACCCTCCGCACACAGAAAGCTTCTGTGATCCCAAATAAGTGAGGGATTTTGCCCATATGCCACGAATGCAGTTCTTCAGAGGGCACTTGTCATTTCACCTAATTCAGACACTGTCTGTGTAGATACATGGTGGATCCCACCAGCTGAGGTCTCTCTCTCACAAAATGGGCCCCTTTTCAGAGGCCTGCAAAAGTATGGCCTATGATTCAGAATGGCTTTCTGTAAATGGGGCTTCCTTCATCCCCTCCTCACATTCAAAAAGTGGTTAGAGTGCTTCGTAAAACTGTCAAGGACTTGACTTGCATTTGCCTTGTGGTAACGCCTGTTCAGAAGAGACAGGTGAACACGCAGATGGAAGAGGTGCATAGGCCAAGGTGTGGGGCAAAGGACGTGGAGCTCACATGACTTTGCATGGTGCGACACCCTCCCGGACCCTCCACCCACGCGTTGATCTGAACACCCTTTCACCCCGTCCTGTTGAGTTTTTATGGAGGCTCCATTATGTAGGCAGGCTTGATTACATCCTGGGTGATGGTGATCAGTTGGGACTTCAGTCCCTCTCCCTTCCCTGGAGGTGGATAGCAGGACTGTGTTACAACTGCCTCTCCTGCTTGAGGCTTTCTGGGGAGAAGCCCCTTCGTGAAGCTCTCTAGGGGGTTCTAGGCACCTGTCTTCTCAGTAGCACAGAAATCTTTCTTAGCTCTCCAGGGATTTCAGGTGAGCTCCACATCAGCAGACAGACAGATACCAAATGTGTATTTACAGCCTCACAGTGCAGCTCTTCTCACTTGAATCAGTTGCATGCTTACACTTCTCCTCCCTTCTCATTTCTCTTTGTTTACTTCTTTGCAGTAATGGGGTTGAACCTATGTCCCCTCTGCCATTACATCCCTACTCCTTATGTTCTTCATTCTCAGAGAGGATCTTGCTATGTTTCCCAGTCCCACCTCCAATTTACAATGTTCCCACCCCAGCCTGGGGATAGCTGGGATACAAGCATGTGCCGCCATGCCTGGGAAATGTGGTTCACATTTTGCATGAAGATTGTAACTGTCCCCTGTGCCCCATTGTGAAGCCTGTTTTAATTTCAGGGTCTGCTGACATTCAGGGATGTGGCCATAGAATTCTCCCAGGAGGAGTGGAAGTGCCTGTTCCCTGCTCAGAGGGCTTTGTACAGGGACGTGATGCTGGAGACCTACAGGAACCTGGTCTCCCTGGGTGAGCTTGACTTTCCCTGATGCTGGGATCTGCCCTGTGTATCTCTGCATTTCCCCTTTGTCTTTGGGATCCTCTGTATTGACTGAATGAGGGCCTGTTGCCTATGAAAGATGCTCCACAGTACATCCTCTGTAGTTTGTTCCCTTCCTTCAGATGCTCTGCCCCCTTCATGATACTTCAGTGATGGTTCCAGAGCTGAAGCACAACATAGAGCCCACAGCCAACTCTTAAAATATCCAGTTCTACCCAGATGCAATGGCACATGCCTACAATCCCAGTGGATTGGTTTGCTGAGGTACAAGGATCAGGACAATCACAAGTTCAAAGTCATCCTCAGCAAAACTGAGGTGCTAAGTAAGCATCTCAGTGAGACCCTGTCTCTAAATGAAATACAAAATATCGCTGGGGATATGTGGCTCAGTGCTCAAGTGGCCTTGAGTTCAATCCCTAGTACAAAACAAAACAAAACCCTAAAAATTAAAATACGCATTACCTGTTTTCTGTCCATGTGCTTTTGATTCAGTGGTTCTTGGAAGAGAGGTAGATACCTACATGATATAGTGAAATATTTTCTGTATCCCTCTGTAATGTCCTCTTCCTCACGTGCAGATAGGGCTGGATTGTGGAGAAGCCACAGTGCATCAGCTTCCTTTCTCTTTACAAGCAGGAACGTGTCCTTCAGACCTGAGTGTTCTCTCCTGGTTGGAGCAAGGGAGGGAGCTCTGGATTCTGAGTGGCCCCGAGGAAGTATCCAGGCCTGCAAATGAGTGGGCATGTGTGGAGGGTGTGAAAGCAGGTAAGAGCTCACATGGGCAGAGAGGCAGCTGCCCACTAAGTAGTGTTGGGGTGCTTTGGCAATGGGAGGGGTCAGGGCTAAGGTGAAGTCCATTTCCTGGGCTTTACATGCAAGGAATTTGGTTTCAAGCTCCACTTTCTCCTTTTCCTCCTCTGCTCCTTCTCCCTACTCTCCCTCCTGTAAACTTTCTCTATGTATACATGAGGATGACATCCCCTTTGTTATCTTTATATATGAGTGTAACCTGATTTTGTTAAATTCCTTCCGTTTTTCTTCCCTTTCCTTCCTTCCTCCCTCCTCTTGTTCTCTTCCTTCTCCTCCCCTGTCTTCCCTGTATCTTTATGGTGTCCGGTCACCTCCTCAAACCCCTTTTCTCCCTTATTTTGCTCTAGTTTCTACATATAAGAGCAACCATTGACCCTCAATTTTTGAGTCTGGCTCATTTCACCCAGCACAATATTTTCCATTCCACCCACCAGCCAATGCCATGATTTCATTCTTCATTTACCTCTAGGTTTTTAAAAATCAGTGCTGTGAATTAGTAAAGAATGTCTCATATTTTATACTAAAGATTCACAGTTTCCTTTTTGTTGACTAAGATTTGTCAGCCTTCTCTCATGATCGTGATGAGATGGTCATTTTCCTGTCAATTCACTTCCAATTACTATTAGAAATCCAATAGACTTATTTACTTCAACCACAGCAGTTTATTTCTCACATTTTGGGGCCTGCAAAATCTATGATCAAGGTCCCTATTTAATTAGTTGATATAGCAGGAGTGTTTTCGTCAGAATTTATTTAAACTAAGTTTTCCTGTTAAAGACATTTTGATTGCATGAATTACATGTAAAAAAGCTTTCCTTCTGTAAAAGTCGAGTTCCATATATTTTTTCTTAACAATAAAATCATGGTCATGTAATATCCCCATAACTGTTGTCAATACAAGTATTACTTTGGTATAACATTATGTATTTACGTGTAAGATAACATTTTTTTTCTTCAGTAATTAGTCATAAACCTATGGTTTCTTTTGTCTTGTAGACATTACTCCAGAACGTTTCTTCAAGGAATGTTCACCAAAAAGGCACAGCTGTACAGGAGAAATAGTCCACACGGTGACATTGCAAACATGTGATGGCCGTGCCATTGAAGGATCATGCTTCGATGAAACCCGGAAGAGTACATGGGACTTATGTTGTTGGAGCAATGTAGGAAGACATCACACAGGATTTTCTGTGACTCCAGAGGAAAGTCCCCCTGGTTACAGAGGTGAACGTGGAGGCAGGGATGCAGGGAAGGTGCTCATCAACAGTTGGCTTGGATTCAGCTTTCAGTCACATCTGCCTGAACCACAGTCCTTTCAAGATGAAGGGAACCTTCATAAATGGATCGATAGTGAGCAGGCTCTCGACAATGGTTCCTTGCTTCCAGCCCACCAAAGAATTCTTTCTAGTATCAAAACAAACATTTCTCATAAATATGAACATGATTTTATAGATTCTTGTTTGTTTATACAAGAACCAAAAACAGACATTCCTCCAGCAGCTCACAAATTTAATGAGTTTGGAAAATCCTTTAATCAAGAGTCACAATGTACTATACATCAGACACTCCGTACTAGAGAGAAGCAATTTATGTGTGATATATGTGGCAAGGTCTTCACTCAAAAATCGAATCTTACAAGTCATCATAGAATTCATACTGGAGAGAAACCTTTCAAGTGTAATGAGTGTGGGAAGGTCTTCAATCACAGTTCACACCTTGCACAACATCAGAGAATCCACACTGGAGAGAAACCTTTCAGATGTGATGACTGTGGCAAAGTCTTCAGTCAGAAGTCCTACCTGGCAAACCACCGGAGAATTCACTCTGGGGAGAGACCTTACAAGTGTGATGCATGTGGCAAGGTCTTCAATCAGATTTCACACCTGACAAGTCATCGTAGAATCCACACTGGAGAGAAACCTTACAAATGTGATGAATGTGGAAAGGTCTTCCACCAAATTTCACACCTTGCACAACATCGAACCATTCACACAGAAGAGAAACCTTTCAAATGTAATGAGTGTGGCAAGGTCTTCAGTCGCAATTCTTACCTTGTTCAACATCTGATAATCCACACTGGGGAAAAACCGTACAAATGCAATGAGTGTGTCAAGGTCTTCAGTCACATTTCACACCTTGCACAACATCGGAGAATTCATACAGGAGAGAAACCTTACAAATGCAATGAGTGTGGCAGTGTTTTCAGTCACAAATCTTCCCTAGCAAATCATCAAAGAATCCACACAGGAGAGAAACCTTTCAAATGCAATGAGTGTGGCAAGGGCTTCAGCCGCAACTCATACCTAGCAGAACATCTGATAATGCATACTGGGGAGAAGCCTTACAAATGCAATGAATGTGGCAAAGTGTTTGGTCGCAGTTCACATCTTGCATGTCATCGCAGAATCCATACGGGAGAGAAACCTTATAAGTGTAATGACTGTGGCAAAGTATTCAGTCAAAATTCATACCTAGCATGTCATCGCAGAATCCACACTGGGGAAAAACCTTATCAATGTAATGACTGTGGCAAGGTCTTCAGTCTGAACTCATCCCTAGCCCATCACCGCAGGATCCATAGTGTAGAGAAGCCATAGTCGTGTAATCAAGGTGCGCAGGGTGGTGGGTCTCACCTACTTCAGAAAAAGGCAGAAGGGTGGCAAGTGCAAATCCAGTCTGGACATAATGGTGAGACTCTCTAAATATGAAATAAAGGGCTGTGATGTAGCTAAGTGTTAGAATGACCGCCTAACACGTTTTGAGTCCCTGGGTTCAATCCCTAAACCCCAGAAGAGGAAAATAGTAATGCAACAAATGTGTTGAGGTCTTCAGTAACATTGACATCTCACATATCAAGCATTTATGGTGGAGAGAAACCCAACGAATGTGATGAGGGTCGCAAACCCTATAAGGTGCATCTGGCCTGGCCGATCATGTGATCCACACCAAGAGGGCTAGGCAAAGTGTTCACTGACATTTCCTATCATGCACATTGTCAATTTCTCATCCTAGAATAAAACCACAAATGAATTAGACAAAGTCTCAGTCAGCATTCAAACCGTGCAAGACCACTGAGATTTCCTAGTGGAGAAATTATCTCCCGTGTGTCATGACTATACAGAGTGATCCAGGCCTCATTTAAGGCTTAGTAACTTAGTTAGTCTGTGATAGAGAGGAACTTCACACATTCATTGGATGTAAACAGGCCCTATGGTAAAAGCCTCTTATCAGGATTCCTGCTGGAACAGAAACTCATAAATGTACCTTGGTTGCAAATCTTTATTATGCACTCAGTCCTCTGTACACAACAGGTAAGGCACAAAAGCATCACTTTGACCAAGCCTGTCTTCAGTGCTCATGTTTCAGTAGACATCAGTTGATCCACACTGGAGAGGAACCATGGAAATGTCTGCAGGTGCCAAGCTCTTCTGGCACAGTTCACAGCTTGCACAACCTGGGAGAAGACGTCCTAGAGGTAAAGCTTGAATCCAGTGAGTGTGGCACCCCCTGCATTATGAGTTCAAGCAGTGGTCAGAGTCCATACTAAAGAGCAACATCCATCACAATCACAACACAGGACAGACTTCCATGCCTCAAAACCAGTGGAAACTGTGCAAAAGTTATTT